AGTGTGGGTGTTCACTGGCAATGCACTGTGTGACAGTGTGGGTGTTCACTGGCAATGCACTGTGTGACAGTGTGGGTGTTCACTGGTGACACACTGTGTGACAGTGTGGGTGTTCACTGGCAATGCACTGTGTGACAGTGTGGGTGTTCACTGGCGACACTGGCTGGTAGATCTCACAGTGATTCTCTGAGGATTCTGAGGTTGATGCTCAGTCAGACATGAGCACACCCACTGCATGTCTTCACATCAGTCTGTCTGCTTCAGTTCACTCCCCAACATCAGCCCCACTCACAAAACCCAGCCTCCACATGGACACACAGTGGGGGCATATTTACTGGAATAGAATGGGAGCTATGCACCGCACTTTCACCCCTGCCTGTTACTAGAGAATGCTGTCAGTCCCAGCATCAAGCAAGACTGAACCACTCATCACGAAACTCCAGGCCATTGGTTTGTGGGTTATGAGCCCTGGAGATTCAATTACTGTAATAGACAGAACAAGACATCAGTGAAACAGCACTGGGAGTGGAAATATAGAGCATTGAGACTCTCAATTCCATTAACATCCCTCATCATATTGTGTAGGTTAGAAGTTGGTGCAGCTCCAGCAACACTCAAAAAGGTCAACATCATCCAGGACAAAGCAGCCCCCGCTCGATTGGCACCACATCCACAAACACCCCACTCCCTCCACCACCAACCCTCGGTAGCAGCAGTGTGTACCATCTACAAGATGCAGTGCAGAAACTCACCAAAGATTCTCAGACAGCACCTTCCAAACCCATGACCACTTGCATCTGGAAGGACAAGTGCAGCATTTATATGGGAACACCACCCCCTGAAAGTTCCCCTCGTAACTAGTGTTATGATCCCGGACCAGACCACAAACATCATGTGAAAATCTGAATAGGGTCCAGTGACTTTTATTTGTAAAGTAGACAGAGTGTGGGAAAACGTTAAAACCACAAGATACCTCTAAACTCTACAACTTAGGAGTTTCTACATTCGACAATACAATGTATTTCTGACACCCTGAGTTGTGATAAATATAGCAATACCCAAAATGTTTCGAACAGTAAATATAATCAAGAAAGATCCCACTGCTTTCTCAGTGACTCCACCCGACCCCTCACCAGACACTTTGAGTTATAGCTTTAAAATGGGTGTACCACAATCTCCCAAAGGAAAACTTAAAATGTTTCAAAGGTCCACTGGTCCTGAAAGGCCTGAGCTTGCTCCTGAGGCATGGCCTGTAACCATGGAGCAGACACTGGCCATTGGATTGAGTGACACACCTCCCCCACAACTCCTGCCATGGCCCACTGCCTGCACTGAATCCTGGTAAGCTTGATGCAACCACATCTACAAGAAACCACTCCCTCCACCACTGATGGTTAGTAGCAGCAGTGTGTACCACCTACAAGATACACTGCAGCAACCCACCAAAGATTCTTAGACAGCAAACACACACAGTCACAGGCACATACGTATACAATCACACACACACACACACACACACACACACACACACACACACACACACACACACACACACAGAGCTGGGTGCAAACACACACACACACACACAAATACAGTTGTGCGTAAACACATATGAACACAATCATGGACACACACACACATACACAAATACAGCTGTATGCAAACACACGCACACACACACAAATACA